AGAGAGAGAGAGAGAGAGAGAGAGAGATGCTGAAGTAGTACCTTGTCATCCTGGAAGGGAGGCATTGTGAAAAAAGTGTAGGAGAAAAGACATTATTAATGGCATCTTAAAATGCAGACTTATATGGGCTTAATAAACCTTGGTGGGCGTGGGGGGGGGGCTGTCAGCACCTCTTCTCCCAGTTACTGGCCGTTCAGCCTGGGGCCCAAAATGACACGCCAGCCTGCGGGGCCCCGGCCCTCACCTTGTGCTGCCGCGCCTCCTTCTGGCTGACCAGCTGGGAGCGCAGGATCAGAACCTCCTCCTTGCGCACCTCCAGCTCCTCATTGGAGGCGTTGAGCTGGTCCAGGAGCACCTTGTAGGCGGGCGAGCCTGGGGCGGCGGAGGAGGCTCCGGCGATGCCGCTCATGGATTGGCGGATCTGGTTCAGGTCGTGCTTCAGCTTCTTGTTTTCCGACTCCAGCTCCTGCCGCTGGGGGCGGGACGTGGCACGTGAGTGAGGCCTGCTCGGCCCCCCCCGTCACCTCCACAGGCACGCTCTGGCAGACAGCTTACACCGATACAGGCACAAGTCCCTTTAAGGGTTTTTTTTCCCTCAAATGGAGCTTGGGGCTTTGCTTAGTGATTTGTAGGCTGCCTACTCTAAAGCACTCAACAGTCTCTACAGGCTTCATCAAACAGGGCCATATAATATACAGAATCAGTTTGCTGGGTAGGAAAGTCATCAGCTAATGCGGGGGTGGGGAGGGGGAGCCTCTGCACCCTTACCTTCAGAGATTCATATTCCAGCTCTGCTCCCCGCGACTTCTTGTGCTCCTCTTCATCCTTTTAAAAAGAGAGACACAGGACGACGCAGTGCTGTTAAATCAGCCAGCGGCACCATCCACAGCCCTAACCCTAATGGACGAGGGGCTGAAGCTGTCTGGGCGGCTGCCGTGAGACTCCACCCACCACGGGGGGGAGGGGGGGGGGTGTCTTCAGGAGGACAGAGAAAAAACAGGAACCTGAACAGCCCACTCTGACTGTTGGGTCCACATGTGCCCAGGCTTCCGGCCGCACGACACACTGAAAATCCCATAGGACACGAAGAAACAGCTTAACACCTCAAAGGATGGTGAAGCCAGTCTGGTTATTACATATACGCATCATTCTTCAAATCAGTCTGCCGACCCGTTTCTGCCCAAAGAGCCTGTTGAACAGGATACAGTTCGGAGAGAGAAAGTGAAAGCGGAGCAGCGGGCGAGCGAGTCGGCACGCCATACCCTGGCCCTTGCCCGCTGGAACTGCTCATCTTTCCGGTCCAGCTCGTTCTGCAGCGACTGCTTCTCCTGCTCCAGCTCAGTCACTCTCTTCTGCAGCTTGAGGAACAGCGACATGTCCAGAGGCGCCTTGGTGACATCCTGCAGAAGGAGGTCAGGGTTAGACAGCAGCTGACGGGGCACCAGATGTGCCGACGCCCCCTACAGGACGGGTTCTCACCTCACGCCCACGAGAGCTCTCTTCAGACTCTGCTATCTCAGAGTTGTACGTGCACTCGGACTCGTTGCTGCTGTGTGTGGAGTCGGTTCTTCTGTGGCCTGGCTTGGGGACAGCCTGGACAGAACCCCACACCCACCCACAAACAGAAACAGTCAGGGGGCCTAACAGAACATCCCATCCATCCATCCATCCATGAAATGAAACCTAATCTAAAAGATGAGAGCTTTAATGTAGCCCTTCTCAGGTATGCATGGCGGCTGACCACAGTAAGGGTGATCTCCTCCTTCAGGTCGTCGTAGCGCTCCTCCAGGCGCAGGTGTTCCGACAGCAGGTTCTGATAACGTGTGCGCTCCTCGTTCAGGTCATTCTCCAGCTCCTTGGTCTGCTCCGCCAGGGCCTTCTGCATTTTGTCTGCGAGGGGAGGATGGCAGGTTGACGGAGAGTGTGGCAGAGAGTGAGAGAGAGGCAGCAAATTGCACCAGGAAGGGAAAAGTTTTAATTGGGAGAGGCATACATCTCTACTGACAGCGTTCATAAGTCAGGAGCGCAATTGGCCAGTGGCTGTTTTGTTTTGATGTTTAAACTGAGACGTCACCTTAGTCTCTGTCCCTGCAGCTCGGCTGTTGTTCGGGGTGCTGTGCTTCTCATTGCCTACTAATCATGGGTAGCATTTGTGCTTCCAGGTCCCTGGGTCTTCACCAAGGGCCTGGCATTGGGTCCGTACCTGTCATCACCTGGTCCTGCTCCTGGATCAGCCGGTTCAGGTTGTTCTTTTCACTCTTTAAAAGGTTGTTCTGCTCCTTCAGCTCAGCCACCATCTAGAAATAAGAGAAGCAGAGCAGGGTCCAGTCGAATGCGTCACGTCAACATGCAAACCCAACAGTGTTTCATCCTGCGTTACTGCAAACATGACCATACAGATTCAGGGGTTTGGATGTTGTACCCGGGGGGGTCTCAGTGGAAACAACCCTAACCCATATCCATATATTGTTGGTTATGTGAAGGCTCCCCTCATTGGTGACCTGATTAAGATCTACACCAGGCCACACCCCTAGGTGCTGCCCAGTGCTGCCAGGCCACCTACCGCCTCCATCTCGTTGCGGTACTTGTCCGCCCAGTCCTCGATGACCTTCTTCTCAGACTGCGTGGCCTCCAGCTCCTTGCGCAGCCGGACCAGCTCCTCCAGCAGGCTGACCACGCGACTGGCGTTGCTCTTGGCCTCCTCCTCGAAGCCGCGGAGGCGCGCAAGTTCGCCGCGCAGCCGCTCGCCCTCGATGGTGTAGGTGTTCTCCAGCCCGGTCAGGCGCTCGCTCAGGGACTTGTTCTCCTTGCTCTGTGTGGAGGGACATTGCAGGTTTTTAGTGAGCTGGGGAGGGAGAGGGGCCAGCTGGCATCGGAAGGTCATGCCACGTGGCCAGTGGGACGTGGCGTTGAGCAATCAGCAGCGGTCAGTAGTGGGAGGAGCAGGGCAGGGTGAGGGGGAACTCCCGAAAATGGAGAATGGAATTTGTGGGGGGGGGCTAGGGGGTGTCCTGAGCTGCCACTGATTATCCTTACGGATATCAAAGCAAAAAAAACAGGAGTTATCTGAAACAGGATTTCTTTATTGGCCAGATAACTTAAGCCCAATGTAAGGACTGTCCAATAGGAATGTCACTTACCTCAATTCCTATTGGACAGTTTTCAGGTTTGGTTTAAATTATCCAGCTAACTTTAAAATCCTGCTTAGTGGAATATCCCCCAAGACTAAAATGAAGCAACACCTTAGCAAAACAACTGAGAAAACAATGATTCCGTGTTCTACATATGCATTTTTGGCTTAACTTGGCTTATTTCAGACCAGTGGAAACCCAATGCTGTAAAGCCATAGGAGATGAACAGAAATTACTATTTGATAAAAATATAACATGCAGTTTGTTAACAGTGCGACTGTCGCCCATCGAGGCCACTAAGGGGCGAGCTGACAGAGGCTGACCCACCTGCTCATCCACCTTACGCTGCAGCTGCATGATCTTGTTCTCCATGCCGATGTTGAGCTTCTTGAAGTGCTCCACGGAGCGCGCCTCGATCTTCAGCTTCTTGAGCTCGCGCTTGGCCTTCATGCGGCGCACGCAGCACTGCAGGTACACGATCGCCGCCAGCGAGCGCTTGAACCACTGCCGCGCCAGCCAGCCACGCACCCACTTCTGGATGATGATGGCTTTGTGCTCCCGGAGCAACTGAGGAGAATGGAGGAGAGCCGCGTTATTCTGGGTGGGAGAATCCGCTCCCGGGGCCATCGGGAGGGGCAGAGACCATCCCTTACACACCGTCACGCCAAGGGATCACTCCGGTCCTCCATACCTTCCTCCTCTGCTTCATCCCGCACCCCGGAACCTCAAAACACCGCCTCACTTTAGCTTTTCTGATATTAAAACCATCCATGTTCCAGCCACAAAGGAGAAGGAGAGGGCGAGAAAGCCCAAGCGGGACGGGGACAGCACATCTGCTGCTGTCCGTCACTGGGGTAGTCCCTAAATTCTTTGGAAGCTGCAGCCCCAGACCCTCCTACAGCCTCTCTCCATAGAGGGCTTCACGTTCATGCATTACCACCAAATCTCCACCCGAATGATTCTGCATCTCCACAGAGGATTCCTAAGATCCATTTACACACAAATTGGCGTATTAAATAATGACTGTGGGTGACAGAAGTTCAGCGACTGGTAGCTACTGTTTGGATTTGCGTCTATGTGCATTCAGAATCATAGAATCATAATGCTGCGTGAAGAGAATGAAAGGCCTCAATTCAAAGATCAAAATCAGATCCTTTGATCGTCAAGCTAAGCTTTCGAAGGGCTCGTCTCGTCTCGGGTCAGAGCCGCGACGGGACGCCTTACCGCCTGGTACAGCTGCCTTGCCATGTACGCCCGCAGGAGGCACTGGAGGGCGATAGCGGCGGCACGCTTGCGTCTGTAGAGCTCCCTCGCCACGTACATGCGCTGGCACTTTTGGATGATGATGGCGGCCCTTGTCCGGCGCAGGAATTTGGCCAGACTGGACGCAGAGGCAAGGGGAGCGAGCAGAAAGAGAGCAAAGCCGGGGGGGTTGGTGACAATGGAGGGGGAAAACACGAGCAACAACAGGAAGTAAAGACCCATCTTCTGAAAGAAGCAGACAGTCAAATGCCTTTGCAGATTCTGGGCAAAATTTTTCTAATTACATTAATTACACTGAGTAAAAGCGGAAAAAAATTAAGATGTTGGCCTTAAACCTACTGTACACTATCATACAGACCTGCTGAAACAGGATTCAAGAAAATAAATTAATTCTTGATATTATAAAATTTGTTTAGCAGTATGATATGCTGCGATTGGGCCCAAGAGACTTGCTGATAGGAAGTCCCGCCCCCTTACCATCTCGCCTGGTAGCCCCGCACGTGTCTCTGAATGGTGATGGCGGCCTTCTTCATGCGCAGGTACTTCTTGCGCGCCAGCCAGCAGCGGATGGTCTTCTGGATGCGGATACAGGCTGCACGGAGCTTGTCCGCTCGCAGCTTCTCCAGGTAGGCCACCTGACCCGCGCGGAAGAAGATCTTGGTCTTGCCAAACTGGTACTTGTCCGGGTCCTGTGAATGGGGGACATAACTGCTAAACCTCGGAACAAATTGCTCATTTCAAGAGGGGTCACATGCACTGCAGAGGCAGGGACCGGCTGAACGTCTCATTGGTAGCCCTACACTTAGCCTACAGGCCACACATCCTCAACAGATGGAGAAAAACCGATCCTCTCAAACGTGTCAGCAACCGACCCTTTTGTGCTCATAAACGGAGGTATCAGGGTATCTGGTGAACTGGTGTTCCAAGAGTAAAAATCATTCCACTGATGGCAGATTCCACCAACGGCACGCAGAACGGCGTTTCGTCACAAATTAGGTCTGTTCTCTGTACCTGGACAAGCCTCTCCAGGACATTCTTGCAGGTGAGCTTCTTGTCAGTCAGCACATCCTTCTGCTTCATCAGGACCCGATAGCGGCTGAAGAACTCCTGATAGGTCCACCTTGTGGCAGAGGGACAGGACAGCGTTAGAATCCTGCCCGTAGGTGAACTTGGGCCCGTCGTGGAGTTTGAGGCTGAGCTTCACAGCGGTACTACCTGGATGGGAAGCCGGCTGCAGAGATTCGGATGGTTTCTAGCACACCACAAGCTCTCAGCTGCTGTACCGCCCTCTTGGGGTCAAACCTGGGACAGCAGAGGACAATGAACAAAGAACGTTAGGGAAGAGGGTCTGAGGCCTGTGCCTCCAGCGTCCTCAAAGAGGCGAGAAACGACAAGCCGCTCACGTGAAAGGGAATTTGAAGTCATTTGGCTTGATGCAGCGGACATAGTGGGGAGTCGTGGCATTCAGGGTTTCCATCAATAGCTGCAGCGAGTTGCGGAACTGGGAACGTAAAAACGTGTAAATATGTGAATCGTTAACGGCAACACCTTTGAGGTCACTGTGAAGCCTAATGTGGCCCTACTGGGCCTTCACATGGCTCTCACCTGCAGGCCCACGGTCTTCTTGTGCTCCTTACTGGACTGGCCCCCCCGGCTCTTGTCGGGCTTCACACTTAGCCGAGTGCGGCCCCCCGGAGACGGCCCTGTGGGACTAGAGGTCTTCTCGTCGTCCTGGAAGAGCTCCACCAGCAGATCAAACTGGTGCCCAGCAAGCAGAAACACCACATCAGTCAAAGAGGCGTCCAGCAGATCTGACAGTGACCATCTGATGCTAAACCTGACCAAAAAAAACTACAAACGGGGCTAAAATAAAGCTGTTTGAAATCAAAGAGAACAAAATGGCCACCAATGAAAATCTACCTAAAAGAGCACAGATTGCTTGGGGAAATAAAAGAAGAGAAAATATACAAATATGTTTCAATGACTGTATGCTGTGAGGCATTTCCTTTATCAAAAAGCCAGGTCAAAAACATTTAGCGCAAACATTTCCGCACTAAGGCCGTTTCTAATCACACCGTTATGTTAAGTTAGAAACCTACAGCTAGAGAAGAACAGAGGAATCAGCAGAAGCAGTGAGGGGATTATTCTTCGGTCAGTAACCTGCATGAAGGATTTTTTATTTCGGGCGGGGTGGGGCGGGGGGGGTGTTACTGCATGTGGAATCATATCGGAAGCATGCTTTTCTCTTCATAGGAGAACGACAGCCACAGCACATGCCTGAGTGAGGATGCTAACTACCCCCCCCCACTCCCCCCCTCCCAAGGTGCTCTCATCGGTCTCCCATCTGTGCTTGCACGGCAGGTCTCCATGGAGCTCGGAGGCAGGCTAGGATGGGGGCGGGGGGGTAGTGGGCGTTTCCTGTGTTAGGCGGGGAGGCGCATTAACCAATAGGGGGCAGCATTGGCCGAAAACACTCAGGTTTACCTTCTGCTGAACAAAGGTTGGCACATGGTGGGAGACAAACACCAACGACAGGTGGGGGGGGAAAAAAGAAGGGGAGGGGGAAACCACACAGTTTACATATGATCACTTAATATAATGCATCATACTCCAGGCTACAGCCTGATAAACGCCAACGTAGCTGCATCCAAGTCTGACACTGCACAATGATTCAGTCAGCAACCATGTTTGAGCAGAATGACACGGAGTGACGAGACACGATCAGATGTAACGTAAAGGGAGGAAAAAAACGTAAACACAACTGAGCATAAATGACATGAACTGACATTGGATGTAAACAGTGAAGCGGAAGCGTCCCCTGAGTTTCAGACGGATGTTGAAACCCTTAGCATGCCCCCACCCCCCGGCCTCACTCGCTTACATCACAGCCCCACAAGGACAGAGGGTCACATGACACTGAGGGCTGTGGAGCTGCTTCAGGGCGTATCCTGCCAGTGACAAAGGGACACGATGGTGGCTAGGAGCGAGCAGACCGACTCCAGGCCTCTATGTTGGCTTTGACTTATCCGGGCCTTGCCATTTGCCCTCATGCACATGGGAGAATCTTCTGGAATTCTCAGCTGTTCAGTGATGCCACCTAGTGGCCCAGATCCTGGCGGAAAGAGCCGTCAGGTATCACACATCTATACGCAC